TGTAGTGATCCATGATTCATTGTTTTCATATAATACCCAGTGCTCTATAAAGTACGTGCCCTCCTTAATACCCATCACCAGGCTAACCCATCCCCCTCACCCCGCTCCCCTCTAAAACCCTCAGTTTGTTTCTCAGGGTCCATAGTCTCTCATGGTGCATCTCTCTCTCCGATTTCCCTCCCTTAATTTTTTCCCTTCCTTCTCTTAATATCCTCCATGCTATTCCTTATGTTCCAGAAGTAAGTGAAACCATATGATAATTGACTTTCTCTGCTTGACTTATTCACTTAGCATAATCTCCTCTAGTCCCATCCATGTGGATGTAAAAGTTGGGTATTCATCCTTTCTGATGGCTGAGTAATATTCCATTGTATATATGGACCACATCTTCTTTATCTGTTCATCTGTTGAAGGGCATCTCGGCTTTTTCCACAGTTTGGCTGCAGACGTTGGTGCTATGAACATTGGGGTGCATATGGCTAAGGGTTCCTTTTAAAGCGGATTCTGATCCAATGAGTCTGGGGTGGGGCCTGAGATTCTGCGTTTCTGACCAGATCCCAGGAGATGCCAGTGGGGGCCTTTGACCAGAAAAAAGGGACTTCATTCTGAAGATTTCTGTTGATTCAGTTCAGGAAGCAGGTCAAGAGGCCACCATGTGCTAGGCAGTTGGGATACAGAAGTGACTTTCTTCCTGTCTTTTAGTTAGTAAATGGAGCACACTTAGTCTTCAGTGATTGTGTTGTCAAGTGTTAAGTGCCATGACAGAGGGGCCACAGGCTGGGTAGGAGGCTGGAGTAGGAATGACTAGCTGTGCTTGGGAGAATTCCCTATAAAGGCAGGGTCTGTATGTAGGAGTGGGTTCTTGGAGGACAAGTAGGAGTTTAATAGGTAGCAGCAGGAAAGAGAACTATGCCAGGGAGCAGGTACATCATGTTCAGACACTGTTGCATGAAGTACAGTGTGTTCAGAAGATCACAAGAAATTTGATGATATTGGATCACTGAGCACATCTGAAACTTTTTTGACCTTTGGTTTCTGCAAATCCATTTCTTTTTTCAATAAGTTGATGCCCCATAAGGGCTGTGATGGTTCTTTCTGCTCACCACTGTCATTCCACCACCTGGCACAAGTAGGCATTCCATTAATTAGCTGTTGAATGAATGAATGAATGAATGGACCGTCCTTGGAATAGACAGATAGATATTAATAGTTTTGGGTGAATGGGGACTAGATGATCTATGGGCCCTTCCACTTACACCTGCCATGGCAATGACCATCCTTACTTCAAAGGTAGCACACCAGAGTGATAAAGAGTACAGATTCCAGAGCCAGGCTGCCTGGTTCAAATCCTAGCTTTTCGTGTCCTTGGGCAAGTTACTCAGGTCCCCATGTCCTTATCTGTAAAATGGAGATGGTCACAGTAGGTCCCACCTCATGGAATGTTATGAGGAACGAACGAGTTAATCCATGTGGAACTTAGGACAGTCCACAGTAGCTCCTCTGTAAATGTTGCTGCTCCTCTTATTCCCGTTTGTGTCAAGTTAGGAATTCTTTCAGCTGCAGGTAACGAATGACCTAATTACTTTCTCCTCTGATACCTCTCTCCTCTCGTTATCTCTCAAATGCAATCATTCAATTCTAGTACATTTTTGTAAAATAATGAAAAGAGCTAACACACTTACGGAGCACTTACTATGCCAAGTACTGTGCTAAGCATTTGCTATCCACCAATGAGACAGATACTAGAATTATCTCCTGCTCGCAAATCAAAGGCTTAGAGAAGTTCGGGAAGTTACCCGAAGTTCTGGTATTCCTAAGTGGTGAGCTGGGCTCTGAACTCTGATCTGTCTAGACTCAAATCCTATGCACTTGGTCCTATGCACTTGGCAGATGCTGTGCCATCAGAACACAGGACAGTGACCATGTAGTGACTTGCCCGGAGGAAACTGTATACACTAGAAATCTAAAGGCATCAGGCCCATGCTTAAAACCCCTTCACTGGCTTTCCATCACTTTCAGGACTAAGTCTGTATTCTTGAACCTGGCTTACCAGCCCATTTCCAACATTGCCCTGCTCCACATCTCTAACTCACACACACTCTCTCTCTCCCCTCTTCTTTTCCCCACCCCATTGCTCAGTGCTACCCTCTGACCAGCTGCCCCTGAATTCTTACAGAGCTTCGGTACATTTGCCCCACTTCCACCAGACCCTAAGAGGTGCCGATTGCTCTGCTCAGACCGCCCATCCCACTCACTTTACCATCTGTCTAGACACATGGGTCCTGCAAAACTCAGCTGAGATTTTGTTGCATCGGGAAACTCTTGATCCCCTGTGACTGGTCATCCCCCAGTGTGTCCTTCTGTCAGAGAACAGCGGTCCCCCTGTTATCCGTGGTTTCAGTTTCCCACGGTTAACTGCAGGCCAGAAGCAGATGACCCGCCTCTGACTTAATGTCAGAAGGTAAACAGTAGCTTCACACTGGAGTGCAGTGCCTGTGTCATTCCGTCACTCACCCCTCGCTTCATCTCATTACGTAGGCATTTTATCATCTCTCATCACAAGAACAGTGGGTACAGATGTTTTCAGAGAGAGACCGCATTCACATAACTTTACAGTATATTGCTACAATTGTTCTATTTTATTACTATTGTTAATCTCTTGCTGTGCCTAATTTAGAAATTAAACTTTTTTTTTTTAAGAAATTAAGCTCTATCATGGTATGCATGTATGAGGAAAAAAATAGTCTCTATAGAGTTCAGTACTATCTGCAGGTTTAGGAATCCCCTGGGGGTCTTAGAATGGATCCTCCTGCCCTACCCACCATCCTTGGATAAGTAAGGAGGGGGCCGCTGTATTCATCTCCTGTGTTGTTTCTGTCTTTCTCCTTGACTGGCCTACCTCAGTCCCTACACCGTGAGCATCTTGAGGACACACACTGCATCTTTTTTATCATTTAATCCAACTTCCTAATACAATGTGTAGCTAGACACATGGTAGATGCACAAATATTTGTTAAAATAATGAAGGCATTACATAATTAATTCAAGCAATAGTTGTTGCTGTTTTTTTTAAACCGGGGCCTGATTCCTAATTGGTCCATAAATGGGCTTCAGGGAAGGTGCAAATGCCTTGAAATGAAGTGCAAAATTGTGAATACTTGTGCATTTTTAGGAGAGAGAATTCATAGCCTCTATCAGATTTTTAAAAGGGTTTATAGTGGAGATAAATTTAAGAACCACTGAATACTGAGGTTAGTAACCAACGTAAGTCAACACACATTCCACAATGTCTTCTGGCTAATTAACCTATCGCATTAAATCTAAGTTACACTGATTGTAAGACTCGCCATTACTTTATGCAACACTAAGAAAAATAAAAACGAAAAGTTTGAAACACTGCTAAGATGGTATCCTAGCTTCAAAGATGATACAACATGAAAAGTGCCTCTGCTCTTTTTTATGTTCCTCTTCTTTTTTTAATTTTAATTCCAATATAGTTAACACACAGTGTTATATTAGTTTCAGGTATACAATATAGTGATTCAATAATTCTATACATGATTCAGGGCTCATCACAGTAAATGTACTCTGAATCCCCTTCACCTATTTCCCCCATCGCCCACCCACCTCCCCTCTGGTGACCACCAGTTTGTTCTCTATGGTTAAGAGTCTGTTTCTTGGTTTGTCTCTCTCTTTTCCCCTTTGCTCATTTTTTGTTTGTTTGTTTCTTAAATTCAACATATGAGTGAGATCATATGGTATTGGTCTTTCTCTGACATATTTCACTTAGCATTTCTAGCTCCATCCATGTCATTGCAAATGGCAAGATTTTACTCTTTTTAAAGGCTGAATAATGTTCTATTGCATATATATACCACATCTTCTTTATCCAGTCATCGATTGATGGACACTTGGGCTGCTTCCATAATTTGGTTATTGTAAATAATACTGCAAAAATAATAATTTTTTCAAATTAATGTTTTCATATTCTTTGGATAAATACCCAGTAGTGGAATTACTGGATCATTTAATTTTTTGAGGACTCCATCCTGTTTTCCACGGTGGCTGCACCAGTTTGCATTCCTACCAGCAGGGCACGAGGCTTCCTTCTGCTCCACACAGAGGGACCTCTGCTCTTGCCTGGGTCCCTGAGCTGGTGCGGAGAGGTGGGGTGGGGAGGCAGTGCCCTACAGTTTAAGTGGACAACCCCAACTCTGCCACGTATTACGAGGGGACTGTTAGGCAAGTCTCCTTGCGTCTCTGAGCCCCAGTTTGCTCATCTTCACAGTGGAGTGGCATTCCTACATACTCGCTGGGTGGATGAACTAAGGCAGTGCTCATACAGTGCCTTGCTTTCAGACGGCTTTCAAGGACGACCCCCTTCCCTTACTTTCCTCATCCTTTATGCCTAACATATGCAGAGCTAAGGCCTGACCTCACTTAAATCCTTAGTCAGTGTGAGAGTTTTAGGCAATGAACTATTCTGCCTGAGTCTCCCAGCTCTGCTACCTATTCCCATAATTTTTGAAAAATGCCACTCTCTATTTGCCTGCAATTTTAAGTATGTCATTTGCTGGAGATAATGAGATTTTTTTTTTTATTCTTTGTTCCCCTGTGTCCATTTCACACTATGTTCACAGCATCTGCATTGTTGTTCACTATGAAAACAGAGAGGTAATTCATAAAGCTTCATGTTGCTTTCCACAAATTGATCTGTTCATAGTGACAAATTCCCTTTGGGGTTGTTTGCATTGCCCACACTCCATTGGCCCTGGAGGAAGGAAGGGCTTTCCCTTGCCCCCTTGCCCTTCCTGAACCCCTGGGTGAACTCTGTCTGCTGAGATACTTGTTAAATACTGACACATTCCTCCTGACTCTCATGGCAGGGAGAACTAGAATCTCAGACCACGGTTGGTTATTTGGATGGGGTTGATGTCTTCCAGGATGGAGTAAAATATTAATATGCTTTCTCCCCACCCTGTCCCTCCCCGGTTGTCTAGTATTCTTTTTGCAGATGTTAAAGGATTTACCAACCTCTCCACGACCTTGTCCGCCCAGGAGCTGGTCCGGATGCTCAACGAGCTCTTTGCCAGATTTGATCGACTGGCCCATGTGAGTTGAATTTAATTCCCTTCCAGTCTTTTGTGGGAGTGAAGGACTGCATGTGGAATTAGGGAGAGGAGGACTCAGGCTTCATCACCAATTATCTCCTGTCCTGCTTCCTCTTCCCTGGTGTGGACTCTCAAGCCCCGCACCTTCTGGGAACCGATATTAGTTATTTACAGATCTAGGATGGGAGGTTTGTTAGGTTAATTTTCCCAACTGAGAGATAGCCGGTTGAGTGACAGTTAAGTCAAAGCCCTTTTTTCTGTTTTCTGCCCCTTCCCCCCCATTACTTCCCTCTTCGTGTGGCCAGGTGCCATCCAGCTGCAGCCTCAGTTTAGTTCGGGCAGTGATGGCTGCCTGCAGCCTTCCAGCCAACTCCAGCCATCTGAAACAAATTAGCCTGTTCTTTAGAGCCAGTAATCCACTGGACCGCCATTTTGTTTGACCTAGCCTAACTGCTTTGTTTTTAGCCAACGGGACACTATCTTTATTTTTCAGCTGGCTCGAGAGAACAGGCTAAAGGAGATGGACATTTGCTCTCAAAACACAGATTCCTAGTCCTAAAGCATACAAGTTGCAGAAGAATATCATTCTCACACTGTATTTTAGAGTGGGCTTTAGGTTCAAACAGGCATGCCTTAATTTCCTTCTTTGTAAAGTGTGTTTCTATCAGTGCCAACTTCACAGGGCTCTTGAGAGAATCCCATGCAATCATATCAAGTGGGAGTTCATTTTTCAGAGTGTCCAAAAGTCCGAATTTAAGGCTGACTCCCTCCAACGAGAGCCATTCATACTTGCATCTGAGGACCTGCTACGTGTTGTGCACTGTGCTATGTGTCGGGAGTGTGGGAATAACAAAAACATACTTTGTCCTTCCTAGAATTAATTCTAGCCAGGAACAAACACATCAATAAATGATCAGTGCACAATGTGTTGTGTGTATGATGAGGGTGAGTCTGGGATGCTGTGGGAAGGCAGACTCCACACATAACCCTGGCATCAGAGAAGACTTTCCGGAGAAAGTGACCCTTAGACTGAGTCTTAAAAATGGGAAAAGAAATACAATTGAATACTATTCAGCAACAAAAAGGAGTAAACCACTGAGGCACACAGCAATATCAGTGAATCTCCAAAGCAATATGCCAAGTGAAGGAAGCCAGATGGAAAAGCCTAGATAACTTTATGATTCCGTTTATAAGACATTCTAGAAAAGGCAAAATTATAAGGACAGAAAAGAGATAAATGGTGACCAGGAGTTGGAGGTGGACAGAGTGGATTGATTGCACAGAAGCATGGGGTGCAGTGATTTGGGGAGTGATGCAGCTCTCCATATGTGAGCATGACTGTACCCTTTTTCAAAATAGTCAGCTTTATTGTTTATAAATTGTACACCAATTAGCAAAGTGAAGAAGACAAGGACAGTCATTTTTTAAAAGATCTATCTATTTATTTGAGAGCACGAGCGTGAGGGGCAGAGGAAGAGAGAGAGAGAATCTCAAGCAGACTCCAAGCTGAGTGCAGAGCCTGCCGGGGGGGGGGGTTCAATCCCAGGACCGTGAGATCACGACCTGAGCTGAAACCAAGAATTGGATACTTAACTGACAGTACCACCCAGGCGCTCCTGGCAGGGAAGATCATTTTATGCCAAGGGGAGAACGAAGATAAAGATGCTACCCTGTATGTGTGAAGAAACCAGAAGAGATTTAGCACTGCGGGGGGGGCGGGTGAAGGTAGTGAGCGGTGGGGATGAGGCCAGAGAGATGGCCAAGGACCTGCCAAGGAACCCGCCTTGTAACCTGTAGTTACTGGACAGCTGTAAATAGGAGACTTGACTTGGCAGAGGAGGAGGGGCAAACCGAGCCCCCCTCCAGCCCCTCTACCCCAGGAGAAGGGTTGAGTTTACCTGAAGTGCTGGAAATTTGGAGGTGGAAAAGAATGTATGCCACTTCTTTTTACTGTTGCACCTCTGGGGCTTGGTGCCCGTTCCAGTAGTTATTCTACTTCATACTATGGTTCTATTTCTGTTCAAAGACCTAAGATGACCAAAAATGGCCCTCCAGTGAGAACCAACAGATGTGATTGGGGTCAATTTTTAGTGTCACGGTAAATAAACTCCACTGCCCCAGGGACGGTTGCTAAGTAAAATCTAACCCAAGTTGTTCAGCCAACATTTATTTCTAGGTATCGTGCAAGATTCTGGCAAGACAAAACCTGTCCCAGCCCCCAGGAAGCTCAATTCTGGTAAAGGGAGTGCAAATCCGTAAGAATTGCAGGACAGAGTGGGTTCAAGCCATAATAGGCGCAGAAGTCCTGGTGGAGGAAGGAGCAGCCAGTACTTGGGCGAGGGGGCGGGGGCAATGGTGGTGATTTGGTAGCACCCAGAGAAGTGGCCATGTGCAGGCTGGGTCTTGAAGAAGAGCAGAAGCTTTCCTGGTATCAGATTAGACCAAAACAGACAAACAAAAATACCTTTTAGGCTGAGCTGTGGTGCACACGCAGGAAAATGTGAAAATTCAAGAATGTGCTGCTTGTTTGAAGAGTTGCAAGAAGCTAAAGATTGGGGCACCTGGGTGGTTCAGTCAGTTAAGTGTCTGCCTTTGGCTCAGGTCATGATCTCAGGGTCCTGGGATGAAGCCTCACATCGGGCTCCCTGCTCAGTGGAGAGTCTGTTTCTCCCTCTCTCCCCGCCTTTGCACGCGCGCACACTCTCTCTCTCAAATGAGTAAATAAAAATCTTAAGAAAAAAAAAGCTAAAGATTACTAGAACATCAAGGGCAGGGATACTGTAGTGAGAAAGGAGCTTAGAGAGCAAGCAGAAGTACGTTTGGAGGGCATGGTGCAACTTTTTAGGGGATGTGAACTTTGTCCTGTAACTGGGCTGAAATTTCCCCTGGTTACCTTACACACAGTGCAGGGGGAGCAGGGAGACAGGGTACACACCCCGCTGGTCCCCAGTGGGTGCAGGAAGCTATCATCCATCTTCTGGGGTGAGGCTTACTGAAATTTTAAGAAAAACATTTTGGAGAAAAAAAATTAAGCACAGATCCATAGTGGAGTAAAATTATTATTAATTTGATAAGACTATTAAACACTCATCAACTGCCTGGTGTATGTTACTTACCGTTCTGGGTGTTTGCCCTGGATTCCCTAATTCAGTTCTCACAACAGACCTACAAGATAGGTTATTGATTGTTCCCATTTTACAGAATGAGTGACTGAGGCTCAAAGAAGTAATCTTCCTAGAACCTGGTAGTTGGGTGTATTTGATTCAGGCCGACTGGGCCAGCTGCTCACTTTTTTTTTTTTTTTTGAGATTTTATTTATTTATTTATTTGAGAGAGAGAGAGAGCAAGAGCACAGGAGAAGAGTAAGAGGGAAAAGCAGGTTCCCTGCTAAGCAGGGAGCAGGATCCTGGGATCATGACCTGTGCAGAAGGCAAACGCTTAACCCACTGAGCCACCCAGGGGTCCCACAAGTGCTCCATCTTGACCACCAAGCAATGCCACAGGCATTTCAGGAGACAGAACACAAGACATTGGCAGATGTGTTGCTGCCCATGCGGGAGCTTGAAGGGTTAGATCCGTGGGACTTCAGGTGTGGGCTGGACTTGAATGTACCTGTGCAAATTCCTCTCTGTGTCTCCGTTTTCTATCAGAATTGCAATGGAGGATAAATGAAAAGAAAAAAGAAAGACAAAACAAAACACATGAAATGTCTCTTAACCTAGAGAGTGTCTCCAAATAAGTACTCAGCACCCATTAGCGCTCGGTAGCTCTCACCCCCACCCCAGGTGCATCAGTATCTATTACTCTCAGGGACCTCCCTGGAAAAGTTTGAGAAACACTGCCAATGAAAACAATTCTACTCATCTTGGAATGAGAAAACCTACTTTCAGTGCTTTTTGCCCCCAGCGGTGGGCCAGTCACTTAACCAACTGGGTCAAACTCTGCTTCTGTATGAAAAGGTTTTAGAGTTGACCATTTTTGCATTTTTTAGCATCAAGATTCTGTGGCTTTATAAAGATTCTCTATCTGCCTCACCATGATTTTTCCACTGTAGATTTTTTTATGTTGCCTATCAGAGAGAATTCACCTTGCATGTGAATTTCATACACTGTTCCTCTTTCTCTACTGCATTATTGAAATGCAGGAAACTTCAAAGCTTCCTCTTAAAATTCCTCTTAGTTTGATTGAACTCCTGAGTGCCCTTGTGGTTCAGGCTGCTCAGAACAGAGCTTTGTTGTTTGTTTTTCTTTTTCTTTTTTTTAAGATTTTATTTATTTATTTGAGAGAGAGCTAGAGAGAGAGAGAGCACGAGCTGAGGGGAGAGGTAGAGAGAGAGAAGCAGACTCCCTGATGAGCAAGGAGCCCGATGCGGGACTCGATCTCAGGACCCTGGGACCATGACCTGAGCCGAAGGCAGACACTTAACCAACTGAGCCACCCAGGAGCCCCTAATTTTGTTTTTTGACCCTTGACATTGCCCTTGGCAAATTTTGTAACTTTCTGTCTTTGACCTTTTTTTAAAATACTCTCTGCCTACTCCTCCCACATCCAAATTAAGAACGAAGAATTTGCATACTATTATGAAGGCTTTAAAATTGTAAAACAACATATTTACTGTTACGCAGTTGACATGATTGCATCTTAAACTTTATTTTAAATTGCTGACAAACTGGAAGCAACCTAAATTATTGCTGGAAGGAATAAATCCAACACTATGGAAAGTGAATGAACAGATTAAAAAGAATGAGCTAGCCATTTCCGTACTGACATAGAAATTCAAGACCTGTTTTGCCTGAAAAAAAGCATGTCTCAGATCCATAAACATGGTATAATATGGCTAAGGATGTGATACGGCTGCAGAGGATGAAAAATAGTACATATATATAAACATGTAATGTACATGTAGACGCATAGTAGCCTCTGAGGAGGGGAACAGAGCCAGCCTTCCAGGTGGCTGTGTGTCTGAGGGGGAGGGGCTTCCCAGGGGGATTTATCTACGAG